ACATAATCTTCAGATTAACATTTTGAATGGAAGCTTCTACCAACTTTTAATTCAGGTGATTATGACAGCTGGAGCTACAAACTTTGTTTCAGAGTGTGGACGTGGCTGGATGTCGCTGGTGCTGAGAGGGAGAGGAGGGAACCGTGTAATCCCAGTCATTAGTGGGTTTTAACAGGATTTGGTGCTGCTACAATAATGGAGACTCTAGTGGCCTCCACTGCGAGACCCAAAGAGACCCGACAGGGCAGAGTTGCGCCACAGAGGCCCGACTGTTCCAGAGGACTCGCCCGAGAGAACGTAATCTGGATGTTTGAGCGTGCATGTTTGTGCCTTTGTTTATTGTTTGTATCTCTGTGTGAGTGCTAACGCCAACCTCAAATTTGGGTTTCGTACACTCTAAAACAGCTTCCCTGCCCTCCGTCTCTCACTGCCCCCCCCCCCCACACACATACACACACAGACACTCTCTCTCTCTCTGGTTCCCATGCTTCCCAGCCTCATAGAGGGTGTAAACATAGTGTGGTTGGTGTTACCATGGTGAAAGCCTACTGAGGACCAGGAATGGCGACTATGCCCTGCATGTGGAGAGACCAGTGGCATGCTCGCTATACAGTAACAAATTCTCTCACATGCACACACACGCAAAATTATGCATGGAGTGTCTGTCTTATTCTATTATTGTCTCTTCCCCGCATGTCTTTAAATCCTATTACAAAGACAAAGTCAAGTTTCTGCATTTTTCATCATTTCCACCCATAACTTCGATATTGTTTAACATTAGGTTGCTGCGATCTTGGAACTTAGTGACTTTGATGATAAAGAAGTCAAACAAGATGAAAAATGCAAGCAGTCAAATAATCATTTTTTGAAACCATGAAACATCCATCATAGATTACAAACCTACTTACTTCCTTGCTCACTTTGAAACTGTTGCAATCCTGTAGTGCACATATACTATTCTTTACAACATTTTGGTAGTGTTCACTTTCGACTTCACTTCCATATGAAATTGCTTATAAGCGGACAAAAATGTAAACTTGTTTAATCCTGTCCAATCGTCTGACAACACTCAACACTTTTCCCATCAGACTCATCGGAACTCATCAATAACTTTGATGACTGCAATGTTATGCTAACTGATAGAAATGATCTCTATTACTACATAAATAGACCCACTTTAGTTAAAGAACATGAAATCCCATCTTAACTGTACTTTGCAATGCTATGTATATATTCTGATAAAGGCCACAAGCTGAAACACGTTGATCCCACAATATAGTTTTTCTTTATACTACAAATGCTGCTGAAATGTTGACCTTTTCAGCTGATGGAGTTCTTACAAAAATAAATAAAAACAGTTCTCACAAAGGTAGAAGTCCAGGAACACACACACGGGTTACAACTGGCATCTTTAGGACTGACAGCAATGAGCTTTATATGTTAGAATGAAGATTAGAGTTTGGACAAGTCTGCAAAACAGCTACAGTACATGGCTTGTGGCTTCAATCAAATCTATTGATTAAACACACACACACACAGTTACATGACATGGCCTGCTCTGGCTAGAGCTGTACACCCACACACCCATATTCATGTTCACACCCTTGCACACAGAGATATTTTTTAGTGATCAAAATGATAAATCTCCCACTACACTGTGATGAGTTCTGCTGTACATATTTCAACCTGACCATGAAATATGGACTTCTGGGATAGGAATCCTCCTGTGTCCATCTCTCAGAGCTGCATCAAAAACTGTTTATTGCTTTTACTGAACGTGACTCTGCTGCTAAACACCAAAACATGACAGCAGACACATAAAGCCATGAGCTGGGACATGACGTGTTTTATGTTCATTACCCATACTTTAATATACATCATATCTCAGTTTATCCTGGATAATATACAGCTGATTGCTTGCTACCATAAAAATGTTTGAAACTGCAGCTGCAAATAAGCCAACTTGGTACAAGGTTGAATCACACGTTCATCAACAACTTCACAAACAAAACCCTCTTGCTGTAATTCACATCTATTTTTCTTAGTGTGCAAAGGCCTCTGTAATGAGTGACATAAAGAGGGACTTATTATGCATTCTTCATTTTAAGAGCAGCGATTTGATGAAAGTGAAAGAAATCAACACTATACTCAGTCCAATGCTAAAACTGAACAAACAAGATGTTTTTGAAAGCCTGCATATAGAAAGACAGCTGTCTGGTATCGTATCAGCGTGTACTGCCCCTCTGGATAATGCACCTGATGGACACTGAGTCATGGTAAGGTCCAGAATATAAAGGGACGAAAATAGTCATGAACTGAATTCATAATCACCGTTCAATATATATATGAGTTTGTGGGCTAATGATATTTTATACATATTGGTAAAGCCCTGACCTTATTACCAGAGGCCATTTTCATCAATTACTGCCCACATATAATGGCTGAAAAGGACAGCAAAAAGAGCATCTGATTCCACTCAACCAATGCATTTGATTCAAGGCTCAAACCCGAGGATGAATTATCAATGACTTCATCTGTTGCTGAGTTTCTCTGTTGCTACAGACGTGCCTTATTCCCTCTATGGATTACCACATCTCACAGCTTTAACATCTTCTGATTGTTTTGCCAGCACTAAAACAGGAGCCAAAGAGATTTAATACACTGAGCAGCCATTCAAAAAACAGCCTGAAACAGTGTTGAGCTTTGGACTGCGTTCACAGTGGCCATCTGCAAGCTGCTGCACACCAAGAAGAGTGGCTCCCTGGTCTAGAGGCATGATGGCAAGGCTGTGCGATGCTGGCATCAGAATAAAAAAGTCATTTAACTTGACAACCGTCGTAAAAGCAATTATTGATGTTGCCTAGTTTTTTGCCTGCCGCATTGTTCGTTGTTTCATGACTCGTGACTTGCTGTGTTGACTATTGGCTCACTTTCACATTGATTTCTGAAGTGGTGATAGTCTCCTCTCTTTGCCTTGAACTGTTTGTCATTTAACTTTAACTTGTCTTTATCGATATCCTGTTAGTGACCATGGATATTTGTGCACTGGCCGTCATTTGTGTGTCCATGTTATCGACTCAAACATTCTTCTCTATGTCAGGATCAATGGCGGTCATCCGGCTGGGTCTAATCTGAGGCAGCCATTCCAGTTATTCAGGGGGTCAAATACCTCGGGCCATGTGTCAGAATTCCAGTCTGCTTCAAGAAAGTATGCAAATGTGGGACCAGCGCTCCAGGTGACCTCACACATGCACGCACACACACACACACACACACACACACACACACACACACACACACAACACACACCACACACACACACACACACACACACACACACACACACACACACACACACACACACACACACACACACACACACACACACACACACACACACACACACACACACACATAACTCACTGCAGGCACAGTAACAGGCTGTAGTGCCCAGGCCAACAGGCACACCGACACATGTTATCCCAAAAGTACCACCACATGCACACTTAAAGCCACATATCACACACTAGAAATCACTTTTAAATCCTTGCAACAACTGGTCAGCGTACTCGACTGGGCAATACACACCCTCCTCTTCACTCACACTTCACACACTCACACACAAGGCCAATACACCCTCTGTCTCATTTCCCTCAGGCCCCTGAAACCCCATGTGGAGCAGGTGGGCGACAGGCAGACCAAAGTCTCTGGCGCCTCGATACACACACACACACACAAACACACACACACACACACACTCTCTTTCGGCCTGTTTCCTTTTCCACACACCTCCTCTTAATGACCACAGATATGTTAAATAGCTCTGCCACTTAAAGCAGCCACCTCCTTCAGCCACTTAATTTGATATGCTTGGGAGGAAAACAAAGAGAGACCCCTATTGTGGCTTTTAACAGTATCCAATCAAGCTTGCCACTCAATTAGCCATGAACGGCACAGAACAACCACATAAGGATCCATTTTATTAGGCGAGTTTCACTGCTGCTGGAACATTGAAGGTAAACCTGCCTGTTGAAGCTTTGGACATGAACCTGTGTTTACAGATTGATCACTCTGCATGAGGTGTTATGAACATAACATAATAATGACAAGAGAGAAGATGAAATCAATATTGGTTTGCTCCATGTCTCCAGATGGTGTTATTGAGCTATATTGTCTTTGAAAGATGAGTCACACTAAATTAAAGACATGCAGGTGAAAAACGAAATGATTGATGGACATAAATCAATAAAGGTAGGTGACACCCAAGTGGGTAAAAAGACATCCAGGCAGAGGTACAAACACTTTTTTTAGAATCGATTTACGAGGGCAACCTGGCTGCCAACAAATGAAGAGACAAAATGCCAGTATTATTCCTGTATTATTGTTATCGACAACATAAAATGTACATGTGTCTAAATGCTGTATTTAGAGCATAAATGAGGATTATATCAGGTCGTCTTTTCTTCAACTGTTGTTTTTATCTGTATAAATGTGTGGGTTTGTGTTGGTGTGAGTGTGTACGTCTGCCTAGGGATTTAAAAAAAAACAGGCCACAGGTCTGCAGGGACATAGTACAAGGTAAAAGGGGTTTTGGCAGAAGGCAAGCCCAACATAGAAAACAACAAAGAGGTAATGAAAGAAAAAGTCCAGACTGCAAAGTGCTTTAAAGTCTCAGCATTCTGCTCTGAATTAGTCCCTCATGAGACCAGAACTTTGAAAGAGAACAACACCACAGGGCTCCAAAGTTAAGTATGCTAACCTGACATCTCACAGCACTCAACTATTATCAAGTTAAAACAAGTTAAAACTGGTAACAGTTGATGAAAATCATTCATCATTCAGTAATCCTAATAGTGGCTGGCATTTACACTCCACAAAGAAAAGTACTCAGATGGGTCTTCTTGAATATCTCTATGTGTGAAATAGCAACATAATTTTCTATTTTATCTGTTTTGTATGGATATAGACATACATCTCAACCAATAGTTCTTATCACTTACCTGGCAGCAATGTATAACGTCCTGTTCATGATCATGATCAGCTGGATGTCCAGTTTGTGCCGCTGCGTGTTGTTCCTGCCAGGTTTGTGGCCAACAAACGCTGGATACTGTTTTGTGTCTGAAAGGAGATGACATAAATGAATCTCTGTGTGTGTATCATTTATAAAAGCAGTAATTGTAGTAATAATTACGCATTTTATTTCAAGTTTCTCATTTACTTTAGGTCAAATGTCAACCCATGTGTCTTAGCTGGATGAGAAAACACCACCACAGTTGTTGGCTGAGCTCCTCTAGTGACCATAAATTGTAGACTAAAACTTTGCTGCACTGTACAATGCAATTTTGCTATTGCTAGTGGCTCAGGATGAAAGCGCTTAATTTGAAAAAAACACTCTGATAGAGGAGCAGGTCTATGTGAGGCTGGCTGGCCTCTCTTTCTGCTCTCCTGGCCAGAGGCGTTAGGTCCAAAGAGCAGGACGGGGCAGGATGGAGGGAGACACAAAGATAAACCCAGAGAGGAACAATGGCCGCGTCTTTGTAGCCTGCAACAGCATTTACACTATCACACACAGCATTAGAAGCCCAACAGAAAAATAACGGATTATCCTTTGATGTAGGGTGGGCTCCGTTTCAAATGCTGCTTTAAGTCCTTAATTTTAGTGTGTGACGAGGGCCTATCCTTGGGCGCCAAATTACACTCCATGCCTCCAAAGTGCATTCAGTAAAGAGGGAGGTGGGGGTTGCAGAGGAAGCAAGGGTTGAGAGGGATGAGGCAGAGCAAAAGGATAAAACGAGAGAGAGACACTGAGAAGGGGGATTTGCGAAGGGGAAGACAAAGAGGATAGGGAACAGAGTGCAGGGAGAGAGCGAGGGAGGACTCGTAATGAGAGGAAGGACAGTGTGCAAGAAAGAAAGAAAGATGCATATACTTACAGTTGCCGTGTGAGATGCTAATAGGCTCGCTGTCTTCGGGGAAGCCCGCCCCGGCTAATTGCAGTAGCGTGAAGTAGAGTAACAAGGCCTCTGACCTCATGGTCGCACCAACACTGCTGCTGCTGCTGCTGCTACTCCTGGTGCTCTGCTGGTGCTAAAGATTTACCTCAACCTGCACAAAGAGAGAAAGAAGTGGTTAGAATATGAGGGAGGAGATAGAGAGGGATGAAGGAAATATATGGGGGGATAAAAGACAGGAGGAAAAAACTGAAAAAACTAAGTTTTTCAAACAAATCTGTTTTCACCTGACTGCCTCCTCAATTACTTTTCCTCCGCAGTTTCTGCATTCTTTGTGTGAAACAAAGAAACACAGAAGCATAAGGGGGGAGAGCGAGGAGAGGCAGAAAAAGAAAGTAGTTAATTTCAAGTCCACCTGAATAAGCTGTTTGTGCAATTTGCACAACCCATTTCAATCTGTCAGAGATATATTTATTATATATGCATTTTCGATGACTCAAGTGAGCTGTGTTGCAAGCGAAACAGAATTAATTGGATTATGGTGCTAATATGCGTCATAGATCGATGTCAGAAAGAGAAAATCTCTGTGCCTCTGTCCCTCTCTCTCTCTATCTATATATGTGGCAGTGAAGTGGGTGAGCTCTTGTTGAGATTAGCCTGCTCTAAAGTATTCGCAGTACCTGGAGATGGGGCTGGGTGGTTTGGCAAGTACCTAATTTACCCACTTGTCATTCACCTACAAGGGTATCGATCCCACATCATAACTCCTAGAGCCTGATGACCACCATCACATTGGAGCAGCTAATAAACTCCCTAATTCAACACAGGATTGGTTTAACCTGTTAAGCCCTGAGCCTGTTTTTCAGGTCTCAGGCTCGAAAATGACATTCCCAGAACAAATGACTATATCTTCCCTTCTAAAAGGGTTAAATTAATAATCTTTTTTCTCAAAGCAATGATAAACCTGTGAGTTGGATGTAGAAAAGTCAGAATCAATATAGAATTGTTTTATTTTAAAGTAAATTCAGATTGAACAAAAAAAAACATTACTTATAGTGAAAACCACCCTTGAATGATAGTAGACTAAAAGCTTTAGGAATCCAAACTATAACATATAATAAGTACCCTGTATCAAGATTGATGCAAAACAAGTGACATTTAACCTTTATAGAGAGATTTAGCAAAAAAAGAACCACTTCTGGGGTCATTTGGGTGGATTTACCATATCTCTGGCCCCCCTCGGTCGATTTTGATTAACACCTCTTTTGAACCGTTAAGGTAGGGACACACCAAGCTGACACCAAAGAACTCACACAGACGGACCCGACTGTTGTGTTGCCTCACGTCTCCTGCGTCTTGGCCAACAGTCGCACTGGAACACACCGCAAAGACTTCAGCCGATGGCCAAGTAGCATGTACAAACTTCACATGCGTGAGTGGCAATAACTCTCCTTACCAGCAGGCGGCGGTAGTGTGTATTCGTCATTCAAAAGAGGCAACAACTGGAAGACAGACTGTGTGATACACCGAGAGAAGAATAACAGACTGCGTGATATAAACAAACAACAAATAGCATGTGCGTTCCATTTTCACTCTACAACGAGAAGCTCATGGGGCTTTCCCGAACCTGTGTCGAGAGCTGGAGTTAAATGAAATCTCAGATTTGCCTTCTTAATAGTTTGTTTGGGTCCCTGACTTCCGTTTCGCTTCTCATGCACTGATTCGCTAGCTGAACAGTCAATCAGAGGGATTTATTTGACCGACAGCCTTTGGCCGATTGTATGTCGAATCGGTAGGTTTTCGGCCAAAAAGGTGTCGGCACAGCCGAAAAGATACGACGGTGCGGGACACACCAATCTGAGTAGGGCGACAGGACGCTCATCGTCGGCCTGACATCCATCGACGGTCAAAATCGGCTTGGTGTGTCCGGGGTTTTAGAGCCAATAGAATCGAGAGGGAAGTTCCTAAATCCACCTACACGTTACCATTGAGGAATGAGAGTGATGCGCACGCAGCTTGCCCACCCCGAAAGCTATGTTAAGCTCTGAAAACTGAAAACTAGGTTATAGCCATAAATATGAAGATGGATTATCAGTAATCATTTCAAAGTGACACAGAGACATTGGATTGACCTTCAGCAGCGTTTTTATCGTTTTAATGCCATTGAACAAACAAAAAAAGTAAGACATATTTGCCGTTTTGGCTCCGTAAAGCTACGTGGTGTGTTGTCTGGGTTTGCCTTTGCTGGCCTGAGTTCTGGTCGCTCAGTGATAATACTTATACCTCTAGAATCTGTGGAATCTCAGCTTTAATATGATAACTTGTTTGTGCAGATCCGATAAGTAATAAAGTATTTATACCGTGAGTTCCGTGCTAAGTGCGTTAGCATTTTTTCACTCAGGGCTAATTCAGAGGCCCGGCAGCCCCCACCCGCAGGTTAAGAACCACCTGCATGCTTGTACTTTCCTCTTAGTATCATTTTTCGTTGCACTCATGCCAACATGCCAACAGTTGACTCCCTATTTTCACCCAATAAGCATGATGACTGCCTGTTTCCTGGAAAAAAAACACCAGGAAGATGAAAACGGAATGTCCTCAACAATCTCATTTTCTCATGTAATGTATGTAAACCAGCTGAAGTTAATTGTATAGCAGATGCATTAAATTGTGTTGATGTAATGTCTTTATTGCACAAACCATGGCAACTGAGTTTTTCTCTCCTGCAGTTTGTGGCAACAAATTACACCCATAAATCATCCAAGACAATTATTGCGTCTGTAATCTAATCAAGAATAAAGCATTTAATTTGCATAAAGCCCTTGGTTTCATCCTCAGTTGAAGCTGCAGGGGTGAGATTTTGCAGGGTAGATAGAGTAAGGTGTGCTTCAGGGATGAAGAATTGAATAAAATAGTCGATTTTATGTGATTCAGTCTGATAAAAGTTGTTTATCCCACTCTGTATTTTCATTCGCTATATTGTATGTCCGAAGGGGGGAACTAAGGGGGGGGGGGCTTAAAAAGCAGAATAGCTCTCTCTCACTCTCTCTCTCTTTCTATGCTCCTGTGAATCTCATTCAGGGGAGGAATGAAAACACTATTCACAGGGAGAATCACTTTAACACTGAGGAGAATACCAATACTAAAGCATGGGTACGACCTTGATCTCACAATCCGTTCTCCTCCCTCCTTTCTTACTCAATGGCCTACTCCTCTTATCCTAGCCCTGTTTTTTCTTTACCACACTCTAATTTAATAAAAAGAAAGAATACCAAAATGGATTTCCCCTCACCCTCACCTTTATCATAAAGTGAAGGTTGACAGGGCTACACTTGCGCCGTGTATTCAATTTCTCTACAAATTGTAAAGAAAAAAGCTGTATTTGTCTTCTCTCTTCGCGGTACAGTAAACCTCTGGACTCAAATTAGTTTTTCTCCTGAACCTTGAACCGGAAGTCCTCCAGTAATTGACTGATTGATGACCAGGAAGTGGCATGAGGCAGAGAGGTTAGCCCTCAGGGAGCTTCCACAGTGAATGACGGATGGGAGTTTCAATGAGCAAGAACACAAGATGTGATCTGTACCAGAGCCCAATAAATGGAAATAATTCTGTAATTATATATTTAACATTATGTCACAATGAAATGTGGAGCTATACTAGCTGCCTAATCATGTGACTGTAGATGCTGTAGTATCATTGTAATGAATCTCATGGGATTAATCATAGACATTGATCCATCCAGACATTGATCTTGTATGTTGGCTGCTGAAGGCAAGGCACATCCTCCATCTATATAAATTGTGTGTAATAAAATGCTAGAAGCTGTTAGCCAAACCATCTCACGCTGCCTCCTGTGATACACTAAATACATTTAGCACAAAACGACTTAAATTAAACTCCCAGTAGCTCTTTTGTTACCAGCTGCCACACATGGGTACCAGGAGGGAGCGATACACAGTCTGTCTTTACCGAATTACGCTCTTTTTGTGGGAGAGCAAATTGCTTCCTTGTGTGTGAGTGTAACGGTTTGTGTGTTTTGAATCCTCGTCAAAAATTCTATTTTTGTGCAGCACTATACACACAGACAATCTGAGAACATCCAGAAATGAAGGCTTCAGATCCAGAACATGCGCTCAAACTGCAATAATGATTGACCTACAACCACTGAAACACACTTGCGCAGGTGAAAGTGTGTGTGGAGGTGTCTGCATTTCTTCTCTTGCAAGCTCTCCTCGAAAAGCAACCAAAGAAACGACATAAAGATCACTGTGCCTCCTCCTTGGGCTTTAATAGATAACATTTTAATAACCTTAGCTGCTATTCCCTTACACTTTCTGCACTCTTTCAATGATAGAGTAGCTGCTTTTGTGTATATGTGTGCATTAGTGTGTTTGTGCATGTGTGTTCAGCAGAGAAAGGAGTGTTAATCAAGCCGGTTGCTGGCAGGAGGCCACCAGCAGGTAATAAAAACACAAGGACCTCCCAGAATTTCTCTACATACCCATGCCATCTTTTGAATTACTACAGACATGTGAACTAGCACACATTTAAACTCAAAAACACTCCTCAGTCACTCTGTATCCTTCTGCCCTCAGCTAAGACCATGAAAAAAACCCACAAATAAAATCAAACTATATTAGCAAAATCATACAACGCAAATCAGCTAAATAATCAAAGACACACACAGACTGACACACACTTTCTCTTCCCAGACAGAGCAACCCCATGGGGGCAATTTCCTAAAACGGCATTAGCTTGAACAATAAACACATTATCAGGCCTAATGATGTTATTTTTTGCTGTGGCATCAACATGTTAGCTACGGGTGTGTGGAACTTAAATATACACACAATAACACACATGTATTAGAATAACATGGTCATTCCTGGTGAGCTTCAGGTGAGGAAAAGGAAAGAAACATTCAGTATGGCAGTCTAGTTAATTAAGTGCGCAAACAAACAGAAACACAAATAATTAAGCTTGGTTGGGCAGATTTTCCCAACGTACACACACATTCATAGAACTAGTTAATCTTGAGAAAGTCCCAGCCATTCATTTCCTAAAGGCCCCCACTGTGCAAGCCATCAGAGAGCGCAATGAAGTGAGAGACCGCCATTTAATTACATCAGAGCAGACCTGTTGATGATGGACTTCAGA